CCTCCTCCTCTCTCTCTCTCTCTCTCTCTCTTTTTCTCTCTTCCTTCCTCTTCTTTTTCGCTATCTCTGTTTTTGTTATTTTTTTATCTCTATGAAAAAAGAAGTTTAGCTATAGGTCATGTTAATTGTGCAATTGCAATTTTAGAAATATTCCAGATAATCGACTCTGACGAGGTTTAATAAGTCTCCGTCAGCATTAACCATACAGACCTTTCAGAAAATCCATGCTACGATATTTGACGCGAGTCTCTATAGTCTTTGACACAGCAGGCATTAGACGATATTAAAACAGACTGGAGCTTTTGCTGAGCACTGGTAAGGAAAACGGAAGCCTAACGTGCAGAGATGTTTTAAGAAATTAGTCCTCGTTGTTACGAATCGCAGAATGGCACGATCTTAAAGCTTCGCTTCACTCTCTCGCGTCGAGAACAACGCTATTAATTACTTGTATCGTCAAAGTCAAATCCTCTACTACGTGAAAAGATAATGATCATGTTAACGCCTTAGTTTCTTGTAACACATTAAACACAAATTAGCACATTTTTATTAATTAAAAATTCAAAATATATGCTTACAAAATGTTGAAATGTAATAAATTAAAAATCTATAGAATACAAATATATTGCAAGTTTAATTGTAATTACGGCAAATCTTATAAAACTGAAGGATATAATCTCCTCTCTCTTCGTTATCTAAATTAATTCAATAATCTATAAAACACAATATTAATAGCAATATACATTGTTATACGTTGTTTCTTTTAGATTTTCCGAACATAGAAACATAAGAAAACAACAGAGACTCAATGAATATCTGAAAATAAAAAAAAATAAAAAATAAAAATTATCTGATTTTAATTTTTCATTATGCTTTTATTTCACAAAAATGCTACAAGCTTTATGGAGGATACCGATCGAAAAGCAACAAAAAGGCAAACTTATACATAGAAATATTAAACTAAAAACGACAAAATAATGGAAGAATTTCTGCCTAATGCGTTTGCATTATTATTGGAATATCGTTCTGCAGACAGCAAAATTTCAAACATTAACTTTTATTCCAAAGAATATGATGACAATGTTGTAAAGTGACAACGTTAAGTTCAAAACCAGGAAAAAAGATAAACGATTTGTTTTTCTCGCAACAATCGTGCGTAAAGTGCGTAAAATAAAATAAACATTTTTCCATACACACGGAAACGCAACGCGTATAAAACACACCGTTCATTTATTATCTCTCGCAAAATATATCCATTTTAATGGACTTCAAATTAGCGCGCTTGCATTATATGCGTTGTCCTCGATATACTGCACATTTTAAAGCGACTTCACGTCCGAAACGGATGTTTATTAGATGGTCGGAGTAACCGATACTGAGACTGCACATTAAAGTATTAAAACATTAAGTATTAACTTTCATACAATTAATTTATAATGCGATTAAAAACAATTACTTAATATTAATTATATTTCCATTACTGGAAATCGTTTTAGCAAGAACAACAATATGCAGCAAAAATATTTTCCACAAGCTGATCCCTTTAATTTAATTATCCAATAAATTAATATTTTATTACAGCCTAATTTATTAACTTTTTGCAATATTTCTATGTTTTCATGTGTATTTATTTATAGCAACGAAATTCGATAAAATTATTCAAAATTCGATAAAATTATTTCTAAATCTAATATGTATCACCGAAAACCCATTCAATTTGACAGTTGATTAATGATTCATGAACAAAAGTAAAGAAACTTCTATTATATTTAAATTTTCACGCAAATAAATATTCCTTAAAATGTGAATCATGTCATTAATCATATATAGACAATAACAGAAACTATTCTTTTGTAAAAAGCAAAAGCTTTTCATCTGTCAAAGTTTGAGAAGGGTTACAACTGACATATTGCTCTTATGTAAAAATAAATAAAAAGACTGAGTGGAGACTTGTAATAAATCTTCTGTTACTCTAGTCAAAATTTTGCATATACTATTGACTTTAAGTTTAGAATTATTAGGTTGCAGAAAGAAAAAGAATTGCAATACAGATTCGTTTTATATAAATTGACTTTCTACTTTGCATATGACATAAATAATGTGACAATTTCTTGTAGAAATCTTTGAAGTTCAAAAGGAGAAACTTTAAATTTTAATTTAAGAATTGTTCTAAGTAAAAATTGATTTTATATAAGAATTGTAAGAATTAAGAAATATGATTTATTTTATTATTTACTGTAGTACAAAACAAAATGATTTCACTTCTTTCTTCTTTTAATAAAGCCTAATTTTCACAATCATTTTTCTCAATACCAATAGTAGAGAGTTAAGAGAGTAATATTAACTTTCATAAAATGCTAAAATTTCTTGTACTTTCTTGTATATTTGTATGCACATAAAGGTGTATATTTCTTCGTAATTGATTAAACAAATTCTGCAGTTTCAATCAAAAATAGATTGTTATAATACATTATTGCTAACTTCTTAACAACGTGAAGCCGATTTTTTCTTAACAAAAATAACAAGATTTTAATTTTTGAATTACATGCAAGTAATTATAAAAAGATTTTACAAGTCGGCCAATTATAACACAAAAATTCATACTTGTATTGTTTTATTTCAAATTCATAAAAAAATATTTAAAAAATTTAAATATTACAGTTACATTCGTTAATATATTTGATTTTCAAATAAGAAAACCTTATACAAGCTTAATAATTTTTTCTTGTATATTTATGGAATAATATAATATATTATTTATTAAAATAAAATCTATGAAATTATTTACAACAATTGTATATGAGCTGTTTTAAAATTATTTTATTTTACCGAATACAAATTTTTAAATATCCATTATTATTCATATTAAATAATATTAAAAAATATAATTATTTAATAATCTTATAATATATATGATTCTTTCTTAAGAATTTGAAATAATTGACAATTTGAAATTATCAAAATATTAAAAATTTATATTTTTATTTTTATTTATATTATTATGTTATATATATATATATATATGCTGTTAATATCGTATAGTGAAATATATAACTTTACCTAAGACTGCCAAAAATATATACTAAACTTTTTTTCAAATAAATAAATATACATATTATATGTGTGTATGTGTTTATTTATTTATTTATTTGAAAAAAAGTTTGGTATACTTCGTAAGTACATACATATATATATATAGACTGATATATCATATTCAGAGAAAATAAGAAGATTCACGGTATTACATACAGTCGCCAAAGGTTTTAATTTTTTTTAATAAATTCGCAAAATTATTTCTAATTCATTAACCATTTTCTTAATCATTTTTTTCCCTTTAAAAATATGCATTTTCATTATATCTTTAAAGTGAGTATCTTTTGTACTTTGAGAATTACAGAGATAAATTATCATGAGGTATACAGAAGTGTCATTGGTTCACCATGCTTTAGACAAGGCGCATTAGCCTTGAAGATCAAGAAAGCGTGCAGCTGCTGAAATTGGACCATACAGTCTCGTGCGTGGTGGGGTAGTTCGAACACGTGCGCGTGAGAATTTACGTCGTCACGTAAGCGTGGCGTAGGTGGCTCGATTGGTGGAAAGTAGTGACGAGGCCAGCATGACGAGGAGAGCAGAACGCGAAGGCAGAGAGATCGAGGAAGGGAGACAGATGAAGTGGAATAGAGAGAGATAATAGAGAGACAGGGTGAGAAGGAGCGAGAGAAAGTAAGGAACGAGAGATGGAGGGAGAAAGAGAGAGGTCGAGAGAGGTAACGCTAAGGAAGAGCGGAGGCGCCAAGCTACCCTTCGCGCGAGCCAGGCAGCAGGCAGGCAGCCCCTTTCGTAAAGCACCCCCTAAGCCTGGTTAGGGGCGAAGGCGGCGAGCCGCGGAGGCCACAACACGACCGCCGTCCTCATTGGTCGACGCGCTTGCCCTGGGTGGGGCTCCGGAAAAATTGGAGGGGAGAAAAATCCCCCCTAAATAGCTGCGGCTACGGCTGCGAAAAACTAGAATCCGCTCAGCCGGCATCGAGTGCGCGTCGATTTGCTATAGCATTTTACCAGTCCGTGGTACAAAGGTGCAGTCGGGCCGAACTGAAATTCAAATCGGAGGATCACACAATGGAATTTTTTTTTCGCTGAGAAAGAGAAGCGGAAAGAAATAATATGTGTTTGCTGTTGTTTATTCGAATGTGATAGTGATTTATGAAAAAAGAAAAAAAAAAAACAGTGATCGATAGTGTTTACCAAACACAGTGTTTGCGTGTAGAAGTTCGAATTGATAATTAAAGGATAATCGAGTCTCCTTTCCTACTAAACTTACCACTGGAATTGGATAAAAAAATGCATTTGCGGGACGGTCCGTTGGGAGTGGATACTCTTAGGGCGCTCCACGAGTCCCTCAGAAGATGTCACGGCGAGTTGGTGACGACAGGAAGTCCCACTATCATGTGCAGCACGCTACCGTCCCACTGGAGATCGAACAAATCTCTTCCGGTAGCATTCAAGGTCATAGCCCTCGACGACGTCGTCGACGGCACCCAGGTTACCATTAAGGCGGGCAATGACGAAAACTGTTGCGGAGAACTGAGAAATTGCACGGCAATCATGAAGAATCAGGTCGCCAAGTTCAATGATCTCAGATTCGTCGGCCGCAGTGGAAGAGGTAAGCTGGGAATATCTACACTCATAAGTCATGTAACTCATCATGTAACTCATAAGTTCTTCGGAATGTCTGCGGAACGGAACTTAAGGAACGGAACTTTTTTTTCGTTTGCAGGAAAATCATTTACCCTTACGATCCAGATCAACACGACACCGTACCAAGTAGCCACGTATGCCAAAGCTATCAAGGTTACGGTAGACGGACCACGCGAACCGAGGTCCAAATCGAGTAAGTCGATACACAAATAATCACGTTGACATTATCATAATAATAACTATTTACCGAGATAAATATTATCGAGAAAAGCAAGATCAAAACAAACACAAGGTATCTAAAAAATATCTTGGGCAAACGACATTTAACCAACAATACACATCTCAGAAAACATAACTGTAGAATAAAGCAATTTTTATTTATAATTATACAATTTCGGAGTTTGGGAAGAAATTATAACACGTATAGCTCGCGTAGGCTTCGCGGGGCAAATTTCGAAGTTCGCGTAGACCGATACGACCGCGAAAGAAATGTCAATCGCAAGAGTCGTGAGGGTGAGGACTCGGATGGGGACATTGTTAGAGGAGGGGTGGCGTTGAACCGGCAGGATTCGAAAGTCGTCGGAAGCTCCGTGACCACCGCGGAATCCCGCAAACGGGCGTCGGAGCCTCGCGGGCGTTTAATAATCCGGCGTATATCTGGTGGACCTCAAACCGCGAGGTGGTGGCGGTGCCGCTGAACGGTGCCGAGCCCTCGACACCGAGCGTCGGCGCTCGCACGTGCAAGAGCGAGCGCGCGCGCACATGTACGCCGCGCAAGAGCACATGCAGCATATACACACATACGCACACACACACACACACACACACAAACACACA